GTTTTATTAATAAGTAGAGATTAGATTTAGAAATATTATTTGCCCCTATTAGTTCTATTAGGGGCGTTTAAAGCAGCCGTTAATATGGGAACAATTTCCAACTGTTAATTTTAATAACTAGTAGGGGAAACAACCGCCCCTATAGTCAATAAGATTTAATTATTTGATACCCTAATCCTAATCCCATTATTACTTTATCAATCTCCACTCTCTCTAGCTGTTTATTTTTTGTTTTATTTTAATTTCTATTGTTTAAATGTATCAACACCTAACCTATATCAAGTATCAATAACATTCTCTCTTCTCCTTCTCTTTGTTCTTTCCCTTCATTTTTCGTTCTCCCTTTTTCCTTATTTCTTAATGCTTGTCATTGGTGGATTGAAATCAAGATAAAGAGATCATTAGGGGTTGAGAAAGTTTAAATCTTTGATTGATCTCTAAAGTTTATTATTCTTTCTTTTGTCTTGTTTTGCAACGTTCATACAGGTAATAATTTTCATTGTTTTTCTTTACCCAGTTATTTTGATTTTGAGTTTTGTATATATTTTGTGCGATTAGGTTAAGAACCCAACTTGTCCCTGTTTGAATTTGAGCTTTCTCTTTTGTTTTTATATGTTTTGTAGGTTTTGTTTGGTATTCGATTTGGAATGGGAGGAAGTATTCGAGTGTGTATATTTTATTTTTGGAAAAATTTGTAACAATTATTAAGATCTTGTGTTTTGTGTTTACAAGGAAGATGGAACACATACTTTTCATATGCATCAAGGGGAGATTGAAGATAGACTTTTAATCCTGTTATGTGTTTGAATCAAGGGATTAAGGTCTGGTTTGGTATTGATGTGCTTTAAAAAAAAAAAAACTGCTTCTGCTGTGCTGTGAGAAGCTGTGAAATAAAGCAGCAGAGTGTTTGGAAAACTTTTTTGTAAAAGTGCTTTTGAAAAAAAAAGTAGTATTATAATGTTTGATAAACTTTTATGTAAAACAGATGTGAAAAAAAAAACTGGTTTTCAAAGCTGGGTTTTGCAGCTTTGTGTTTTTAGCTTTTTTTCACCCAAAACTGTGAAAAAAAAAGCTGAAGCTGAATGTTTACCAAACATAAAAAAGCTCTCAGTTTTTTTTTATAGCCACATTTTTTTTCAGAATCACCTCAGTACCAAACCAGGGCTAAATCTTTGATTAGATTTAGATTTGGAGAAAACTTTTAGAACCTTATGTAATGGGGTGGATTTGTTTGTATCCATTGTACTCCTATCATGTAACATTTGTACCTAATCAATTGAAGAATGTAACTTTAATATTAATTTGTTGGCAATAGTTGGGTAGGTGATGATATTAGTTTTGAATAATAATTTTCGAAGAACTGAAAAGAATTTATAAATATACTTGATTTTGAAAATGTGAGAATACGTATCAAATAATTAATGGTGAAATGGAAATCATTTCTCAATTAAAACAATTTCCAAAATGCAATACGACAAATAAAAGCTCAATTATATACAAATATTAAAGTAGGGGCCTTAATAATCGCCCCTAAAGCTTTTAACATCCGCACCTAATGTTTTTTTCTACGTCACACTTGCCTATATAGCATAATAACTATTAGGGGATGGAAATATGTACCCTTTCGTATCTATTTATCAATAGCAACGCCATTTTAGATGCAAATTTGAAATCGGCCCCTCCTTACTACTAGGTGCGGAAATCTTTATTTTTTGCCCCTATTTTTAACTAATAGATGCAAATGTTTTAGCCTCTACTTGTTCTAAGTTTTGTAGTGTATACTTAAGATGATGGTCATGGTAAAAATATTGGTTACAAATGTTGGTTACAATGAGAGTGGTGGTAATAGTAGTGGTGGCCATTGTGGAGGGAGGGTGATGATTATGGTAGTGGTGTGGTAAAAGTGTTAATGGCAATGAGAGTGGTGTTGGTCGGAATGGTGGTAATAGTGGTGTGGTGGTGCCCATGGTTAGAGGCGGGTGGGCAGGGGAGGGGGATTGGGGATTTATCACATGGTAAAGTGCAAAAGGTAGCGGTGGTGATGATGGTAGCGATGGTGATACGGTGAAAGTGGTGGTCGTCCATGGCAATGGAAGATGTGGTGACAATATAGTGTGTCGAAAGATGGTGATGATAGTGAGATGATGGAAGTGCATTTGAGTGCATGGATCTCAGTACATACATTTCGATACTAACATTTAAATACATTAGTTCAATATAATATATTATACATTTAGGTACATTAATTGAGTCTTTCAAGTTTGAATAGTGAAATAAAATTAATCAAGACTTTTTTTATTAGCACCCCACAAATTGCTGTTTACATCCCACAAACTGAAAGAACCCCACACTTATTTTTAAACTAAGCATTATCTTAATACACCCCATTTACTTACTCAAATTACCCTCACACCCCATTTGCTATTGTACTAGGGGTATATCCGAGGAGAAACCAATTTCGAAACGAGAAATGCAACTCTTAAATTATGACTCTCAGGAGGCAATGTGAAGCTGCTCATCTCAAGGCCTTATGAAATCCCTTTCTCTGAGAGAAGCAGATTCTAGGAAGAAAAATTGAGGCTTGTCTTTCTTGTATGCATGAATACTCCATTAACATGGTCTAATACATAGTGCTTGCAACAACCCTAAATTTTCTGTCACCATTTTTTACAGCACCTGTCACAGCCCGTCCTGGAGTATTATTTTTCAATGGCATGAAATTTCAATTATACCCATGCACTCTCTCTCTCCTCCCTCACGGATTTTTCTGAAAATTCGTACAATTGTACGGACGAACTTTGGAACCAACCATACACGCACGGATCGATGTCAAGAATGTAAGATTCGAACTCCTTGCAAGTCTCTGAGTTCATATATGCCATTTTTAGATCGTGAGACCCTAAAAAACCTGAGAAACCATCACCCCCGATTTAAGTACTGTTCACATGGTTGTAATTATGGATGTTTCAGGGGATTTTAAGCTCGTAGGAAGCTTTAGGACGTTCTTACGAAGCTCGGAGAAGAAAAACCAAGCAAATTGGACGTCAGGAGACCTAGTTTTGACGAGTTGCAATTTTGCAGAATTATCGAGGAATTTTCCGACGTGATTCTGTAATTCTTGGAGCTTGAAATTGCTAAGAATGTGTTCTACTCATTGTAAGCTTCAATATGGTATAAGTTTCATGAGTTTTGGTGCAAAAATGAAGAAATTATAAGGATTTTAAGATTTTCCAGTTTCTGGCAACTAGGGGGCTATGACCCTTCGTCATACTAGTGAGTGGGCTTTTGGTTTTCAGTATATATTTATATACTTGAGATTTTCCCAGAAAAATGTGTTTAAATGAAAGCATGCTTTGAAATGCCATGCATATAATTTTATATTCAACATATGAATTAGTATATGATGCATAATATGAATTGGTGCTGTGGACGCTCAGGTAAGTACCAGGTGAGTATTGTTTTGTTATATGAGATATTGATAATGTGAGACGTGATTGAGAGCTCATAAATCTGCATCTCGGGTGATTGTGATTTAGCTAGAGATATGGCATATGCCTGTATATAATGTCACATCCCGCACCATATGCTCGCATTGGATCCAATTTAGGTGCACAGTCTTGTTGTACAGACCATCATAGGTGGTTCCAACTCGTAGGTGACTAGCGATTTATCGCATAGCTATCATGAGAACGTATCATTGAGCATAACTATATTACACCCAGTCTTGTCGTACAAACCTTTACAATGGTTCTGACTCATGTGCAGTGTAGTGCCGTATAGGTCACTTGCGATGACTCTGGCTAGATTGACTAATGAGCTATGAATTTAGCCATACTGACCTCTGCAGGGGTTCTGGCTAATATGTTATTTTCCATGAATTTATTTTCACCTGAGTTACTTATTCTTTTATATTTTTGGCATGGCATGCTTATGAATATGGATATGTGAAGCATGAATTGAAATATATATATATATATATATATATATATATATATATATATATATATATATATATTCCATTTCTGGGAAAATTATACATTTTTTACGGCGAGGGGTTAGAGCATTTGATAAATGAAATGGTTTTGAAAAGCTTTGTTTTTGCCCACTCACACTTTCTGTTTTGCGCCTCTCCAGGTTTTAGATAAGCTTGTTCGTTGGTGGCTCACGAAGATTGATTGGAGGTTCTCACAAATGTAGGGCATCTTTGGGTGTCGTTTAATTAGTACTTGTATTCTAGACTGAACTTAGGCTACTTATGCTCTGATTTGTGAATTCACACATATTCTAACACTCATCTTAACTAGTACTCTTATGAATTGGTTTTTATTTATTCATATTCTCTATTATCATTATTGCTTCCTCACTGTGCACATAGTTACGTTACTCTCACGTGACGGCCTACATGCCCTGATTCGGATCAGAATGTGTCAGCACCCCTCATCATATTCAAACACCAAAATTTCCCAAAAATTAAACAGGTTTTTTAATCAACTTGAACAAAACCCGCTTGAAATTGTTGGCAATTTTCAGAACTGGATGATTAGAATAACCCAAAAATCACAGTGGTGAGTGAAATAAGAATTAGGCATGTAATTCATGAAGCATACAAAGCATTTGATATTTAAATTTTATATGGGATGTATTCATCAATATATAAGATGCTAATAAAACAACCCTTAATAAATTAAAAAACAAAAGATTTTTTTTTATAAAAAAATAAATTAATATAGTGAGAGATTAAATAAAATGCACATTAATGATTTTAAATTAAGAACACATCAAAAGATTATAATCAATGTTCAAATGTTCTTGAAGGATTAAAGTTAAAAAAACCCTGAAAATAATTAGACAAGAAAAATCAAATTTTCTCTCGTCAACCTTTTGTTAGGGTATCACGTCGCATGCAGAACAAAATAATAAATCATTGTTCTGAAACCACAATTTGTCAGATAAATTATTATTTTCTGATAAACTAACGAAAATAAGCACATCAACAGCTAGAACAGTTACAACAACTTCTTTATTATTACACTGATCAAGCTCACAAACTGCAAGCCCACAAACTGCACACAATTAATTCAAACGTAACCAGCAACCCTCACACAGCACATCAATTCCAGAATACACTAATTAAAGCTTAATTAATTCACTGGTGGCTATGATGACCAGGCAACTTGTCCTTGATCTTCTCCATCATGCTTTTCTTCTCAGGCTCGGTTGTGACTCTGGTGGTTTGAACAACTTCGGTTTCATGTCCATGGCCCTGTGTCTTTGCTTGCTGCTGATCGTCCTTATGCTTCCCACCACCGAGTTTGTCCTTTATTTTCTCCTTCAGTCCCTTCTTCCTCCTCCCACCTTGCCCATCATCCTCAGACTACAACCAACAAATTATAAGACATCAACCAAAAAGTCAACAAAAACCCTTAACTATACCGTTCAATTTTTCTTTCAGTTACGCTCGAAAGAAACAAGGGTGTGCAAAACGACAAACTGAAAGCGTAGGGAACTAGCATAGCAGAATAAAATTAAGACAATTTTTAATATGTATATATAGAAGAGACGTGTCTTACGCTGGAGCTTGAGCTAGAGCTGCCGGAACGGCGGAGTTCACTACCAAGACTGCCATGGGGCTGCTGTTGCCGATGCTCAACGACACCAACACCAACACCGTACCCAGGAGATTGATCACTTGTTTGTTTGCCACCAAACATGCCATGCCCTCCCGTAACTCCAGCAGCGCCACCATGCTCTCCATACCCTCCGGTGGTTCCAGAGCCGGGAACATGCGGAGCTGCACCAGTGTGTGCTTCAGTGCCAGTTCCGCCCGTGGTGGCCACGCCTGTGAGGTGAATAGGGTTTCCAAGCTCGTCTGTCAGTTTGACAGGGTTTCCATGCTCGTCTGTGAGCTGCACCGGGTTTCCGTACTCGTCTCTAATTTGAGCCATTTGGATAATTTCCAAAAATGATCCTTTCAATCTATTGATGTTCGAACATGAACAAGATCGAGGAGGGTTGGTCTTTTTTTAAAGGGGAAATGAATGACGGTGGATAAAGTGTTATGTCGGTTTGCATGTCACTGCATGTTGACACGTGTTATGACAATGTGCAGACAATGTCACTAGCAGCACGGCCACGTTTGATGAAGTTTCCACGTGTTAACTTGTGGGGGTGACACATGCTTACGATGGCTCTGGGTTTTGGGTTGGGATGGGATATGAATCAATCTCTTCTAGGGAACAAAAGATTATCGCCAGGATCTTTTCTTCCTTGGCCGCTAGTGTGTAGTGTGTAATCATGAATGATTCATGTCTAGTTCACAAAGTGCAGTCGAATTATCAGATAGACAAACAAAGTGTCATTTTTAAACACACCGATATTATTTTCAACTTAAAAACTACTATTTGTACAGTCCATCAGGTGTGATGTTTTATCACAAAATAAAAAAACCATCGAGTATGAGATTTTATCACAAAACAAAAGGTTTCGGTATTAGTCGAAGTGAGTTAGGATATTTAAACTTTTCTTTTTAGATAGTGCCAATTTGTGATATTTCAACACGCCTTCTCATGTAAGACTCAATTAGTGAGTCATATGTAGGAGATCCACACATCGGCAAACAATTGGATCACACATAGATCCTCACATCAACAACCACATGAAGCCAATGTGACTCGCCTTACACGCGGGGCCACATGACCTACCATCATTGTGTGGGGCTAAGGGGACCCACCCATCACGTGGCAGTACGGGCTCGTTCTATGGCTCTGATACCAAATCGAATTATCAGATAGACGAAGCAAAGACCCACTTCCAACAATATCGATATTGTCCCCAACTTGGTAATTACCAAGTGTACAGTTTGTCAAGTGTGAGGTTTTATCACAAAAGACCACAGTATTAGTTGGAGTGGGGTTAATGATATTTAAACTGTTCTTTTCTTAGAGATACGGCCGATGTGGGATATTTCAACATAATTATAGTTTGTATTCATGATTTAAGTCTTCTTTATTCAATATTCATATGAGTTATTCTATTAAAATCAATCCTAAACAGCCAATCAGGTATTACTAATGTCTTTAAAGACGAAATCACTTTTAGGGTTTAGTTTTCTATTGTTGTATTTTTTTCAATTACATCTTAAAAGCAATTTTTTTATCCTAAATCTAAGTCAAAATTGGTGTTGTGGATGCAAATTTCAACCATCTCCGCCTTTGACGAAAATGCACCTGCAAAATAATAATAGCTAAGATTAAGGCCAAAAGCCTCACACGCCCACGTTGAATGGGCCGATTAATCTCTAATGCCAAAATTAGAATTTGAGAGATAAAGTGTTTAGGAATTTGTGGGGAGAGAATGACTTAGCATTTTAGTTGGTAAACATGGCTATTTATAAGGAAGTGACCAGCCCTATTTGGAGAATAGGGGTCAGCCACATATGGTCAAATTGTGAGTGTAATTGCAAGATATTATGTGAAATAATGTCTTGCATTTAACTTGGCAATTAATCCCAAATTGAATAGGAAAATTGGGAGTTACCTTCTGAGTGAGGATTTGATGATGAGTGATGAGAGGGTTTTGTATAAATACCATTTTGATCACCTTTGACTCTTTCTTGATTGAGCCATTATTGTGCGTTGTATATGCATGGGAATCTCGGTGTGCCCCGAAGGTAATTTTGTTCTTTTCACCCAAAAGTTCACGTGTCACCTCCATAATTTTCTTGATTATTTTTTACTCCACAAATGCCCCATCGCAGGAAAGGGTAGCAAGTGTAGATATCTTCCCTTACTTTAAGAAACATAGGATTGTTTCCTATTTTGATGTAGATTCCGACATTACTTGGAAATTAGATCATTCTAGGAAAGGGAAATAAATTACTCCAAAGTCTATTTAAGTGTACCTTAAGTAGATGATTAAATCAACTTCAGAAAGCAATTTATTCTACCCTACAAGAGAGAGAGAGAACTAAAGGATATTTGTTCCCCCTCCTCTAGCAATCTTCCACACTTGCTCGTGCAAATGACTGTGTTTCGTTACTTTCTTCGTCTTCTAACCACACCAAGGTAAGAAAAAAATTAATTTTCATTGTCTTCTAATTTTTTTTGGGAGCCTCGGGGCTTCAAATTTGGCTCTCTAAGGGTCGAGGATGTGTCAAAAATGGTTGGGGAACCACAACATGGCTGCTACCGTGGGTGACTAGGTACGGTGACGGCTAGCTAGGCCAGATACTCCTCGGTTTGGGCCGAGCTGATGGGGGTGCTGGGGTACTAAACCAGTCCAAGGAGGGAGGTGCAGAAAGAGGGAGGTGCGGGGGTGCCAGCCTTCTTCCTTTTGTATTGCGTCGAGAGAATGCGTGGCATGCTGGGCCGCCTAGTGTGTTAGGCCAAGAATGAGAGATGAGAGCCAACGCGGACTGGGCTCCCTTAGCTGCTGTCTTTGGGCCATGAAGCTTGATGCATTCTTCCGCTAATGATTCTTCCTTGCGTCTTTGTAGAATTTCTTCGAGCATGTCTTTTTCAAGCGACAAAAGTGATGATGATGTGTTGTCGTTGTATCATGAAGACAGGTCTTTGAGTAAAGTGGGCTACTTCAAGACTGCTTACTCCAAAATTAGCTCCGATGACTTGTTAGAGATTTTCTTGAAGCATATAGGCACGTCATTCCGTCTGGAGTGCATGTGAAGCATGTTAAGAAGGGTAGCAGCCGTGAGCCATGTACTAGGGCCCTGAGAGCCATCAAGTTTCACCCCTACTACTTCTTGTTGGGATTTACTTTTCGCATGCCACGTTTCTTCCAAGAAGTACTTTGCTCCATGAAGTGTGCTTCCACTTAATGTTCTCCAAATGCGGTCCGTGTGATGGTGGGATTCCTCAATCTTAGCCAAATCTTTGACTTGGATCTAATTATCAACGAATTATGCCACTTCTTGGACATAGGCCATATTAAGGGAGTTGGGCAGCTGCGATCCCTCCATAGGCTTTTTGATCATTCGAGCAAGGGAGATCATGATTGCCAAGAAGACTTTGGAGATAAGTGGAGAGTGGGAGTCTGATTCTTCCCCTAAGTTACGTGTTCTGACATTTTCAACATCGGTAAGTAGACTGCTTTGTGCTTTTGTTGAGCTGCTCTCTGATTTGTTAATTGTCCTTCTCTACTTATGTAGATTCGGAATTCAGCTCAACTCCCAAGACTTCTATAGATATGAAGAAAGTGCATGTTGCTTTAGGTGTCCCCGCAGAGTATGGCGTTGGCTGCTTAGTCCTCTTCGCCAGGAGAAATGTGGGCTGCCCCTGAGATTAGACCTGGCATTCGTGTTGTGTTTCTTGTGTTCGTGTTATACCCAATAGCTTAACGGGTCATGTCGTGTAATATCCGTTAAAGTAAACGGGTAATATAACCCGACCCAAAATCAACCCGTTAATATTATCAAGTAATATGACCCGACCTGACCCGTTACCGATTAAGAAAAATATATTTTAAATCAATAAAAATGAAAATAAAAAACATAATTTGACCCCAAAAAATGTAAAACATAATATTAAATTAGTATACACATACTAAATTTTGGAGTTGACCACTTCATGAAAGTTGTAAAGCTTTTCATTACGAGTGATTACATTTTTCACTTCTACAATAATTGTTATTAATTTTATTAATTATTGCACTCAAATAAAAAATATTGTTAATGAGATTTGGAGGGTTTTAAAAATCTAAACGACCATGTAACTATTGTCTAAGCATTGAGGATGCAATTATGAAGGTTTATTATGCTTTCACATCTTTCAGACTTATACATTAATGATTATGAATTTTGTTTATTTTGAACTCCCTTAAAAATACTATTCATGAGAGTTTGTATGGTTTTAAAAATTCAAACGATCATATACCAATCTTCAAAGCGTAGAGGATGCAACTACGAGCGTTTGCATATTTTTTCATATTTTTCGCACATGTAAATTAATTATTATAATTTTTTAATGTGTTTGGTATTTTAAAATTAATTGATATATTTTTTTAATTTGTTTTATGATTTTTGATCTCAATCTTTGCCTATAATATACTATAAAAATAAATAAACAAATAAAACTAAAATTTTAAAATTTATATAGAATAATAATTAATAAACAATATATACAAATTCATTATATCTATTGTATTTTATAGTAAGTTTTTTTAGTAGTTTAAAAAATTAAAATCATCAAAATAACATTTTTCTTATCATGTCGAAACAGGTTACCTACGTGTCACTCTGGTGTAAACCTGTTAAGGACCCGTTATTAACGGGTTATTATCGTGTGACCCAATAATAACTTGATTAGTTATCGTGTTGGCCTGAAACCTGTTATTTTCGTGTCGTTTACGTTTCATGTTAACGGGCCATGTAAGAAATTGTCAGGTATACCCGAGATAGAAGATAAAGTAGATCAAGGCGGAGGCATTGGCTTGTCCGATCACTGTCATGGAACTTGTTGTGAATGAAGGTGGAAAGAAGAGATCTTCCCCGCCTGCTCAAGAGATGCTAGTTGAGAAAAAACTAAAGACTTCCTCTGTTGCTCGTAAGGGTTTGCCTGTTGCCGATAGGCTTGTGATTGACTTGACTTTTTCCAAGGGGAAGAAAGATGTGGCTGCTAGATTCGAGTCGATGACGTCTGCCATGCCAAAGGTGACTAGTACAATTGTTGATAGGATTGCTCAGCGTAGAGGTTTAGTCATACCCCCAGTGCCAAAATCTGCGCCAAGAAGTCCGTTAGGAGCTAAGTCCGGTTCACCTTTGGAAAGGCTTGCTACTATAAAGAGCGATAAGGTGGACTCTGCTACTAAAGTGGCACTAAGGCCTATTCTTCTTGCTGTTGAGACTGATTCGCCTGCTGAGAAAGAGAATAGTGCTTACGTGGGCAGTTGTGAGAAATCCACTAAGCCTGCTTCTGGGGTGGCTGCTAAGATTTGTGGGTTCTTGAAACCAGATCTGGTTGAAGACATAGACGTGTGTGCCA